GTAATTTTTCAGTACATTGTACATTAAACTGTAAATTTCACTTTCATTATAACCTCTTTTTAATCTACAACCTTTAATTATAACTTCTCGACAGTATCGAAAAAAGTTTTTCATACTTATTTTTAGGCCATTATTCACATACTGAATTGACGACAGACTTTAATTTTCGTCATTTCCCGATCATGGCAAGGAGCTCACATTTTTAATGATCATGACAAGGAGCATGGTGTGACCGGTCAGCAGGGTATGCTCACTCCTCCATGGCACCTGATCCTACCTCTGATGTTTTGGAGGTCCGTGTTGGCTCTGTTCTTGTTTTGTATTGTTTAATAGATTTTGAGCTTAAATACTCTTTGTTATCTCCAAATATTGCTTTAAGGTTTTATATATACTGCATGTTTATCATTGTACAGTGTTTAACGAAGCTCTGAAAATCCCATGTGTCCAACTGCATTTCCTGTGATTCATGGTGTTCTATTATGTAATTCACCTAAACTGTTGTTTAGTTTCTGTACCTAGCATCTACTCTAGGATGTTATACCGCTGAAGACTCGGTAGTTTGAGGTGCAGAGCGTCTATTTCTTCTCTGAGCTTTTCCCTTCTGAGATCATAGCACTGGTGTCAGCTAACAATTCTTACCCTCTATCATACATTCTGGTATAATATGTTACCTGGTTTTCTCTATACTATCTTGTATCTGGTCTACGTACTTGGTCAACTTTACCAAGTCATGCACAATACCAAGATTGTAACAAGTCTAGCAATATATCCGGTAAAAATACACAATCGCTTTAATTGTTAAAAATAAAATGCACCTGGTAAAGTAAAATCAACAGAAGAACAATACTAAATTGACTAGTAACAGAATGAAATAAAATTAGTTTTCCATCCCTTAGAATAATTCCATCAAAAGGTATCGTGTTTATCTGAACAATAGGGTTCTTCATAAGGGATATATGAATCTCCTTATTCTTTAAGCAAAATGAATAGGCGATAAAAATTTTCCTCAGCAGCGTATAATGATTCCGGAATTCTCATTCTTCCATTTAAATAAGTCTCTACTTTTATGTTTTAGAGGTCCGTGTTTGCTCTGCTCCAAAACTTTACTGTTAAAGTGGGCGTTTATCACTGCTGGTTATATGTTTCATCCTAAAGATGTGTTGAGAGTAAGGAACGTATGAACCGAGACATTTCGAGTTATAAGACAAAGTTGTCTCGCTTCTGATTTTTTTAAAGTGGCATACTATAGAAGTAAGGATATTTGACTTTGTTGAAAAAAAAAAGTCTAACAATTTGAAAAGCATGATATTTATTTATGGTCACGTGGCTATTATTGATTTACATAGATTTACATAGATGTATTAGTTTTATTATCACGTCTTTTTTGTTAATTACATAACAATTAAAACATTGTTTTGTTCTGTTTTAGAAATATAAAGTTAATACTATGGAATTTAGAAATCAAATTTGTACATTTGAAACGTGATAATAAAACTTTAAAATATGCACATATAGCAAAAATTTGCTTAATTAAAGGTGATACATAGACATAAGATGAATATACACGCATATGAGCTCTAATATACATTCTGTATACTGCTGTTTATAAAATCGTTACAATTGCCTTTTAATAATGTTCACAGAGTAAAAATATCTAATATGTTTAATAGAAGACATGCTTAAAATGACATGCTTATCTAATGCAAACATCAAATGGAATGTCATGGATATTTGCAAGGTATATGTAAAACAAATCACAATAAAGAAAAAAATACAAAGATACAGAGTTGTAAAAAGATGGGATGAAAAATAAACAGGGACATGAAAAAGATAATTTTATAGATTTCAACTGTGCTTTTTAATTTATGTCTAAATTCATAATTTGTTATACAGATTATATAAGGAAAAGTGTTTATCTATCTACTGCTGGAACAGAATTGTATTGAAACATAAAATACATTTACAATTTGAATTAATCTTAATGCAATTCAAAATTTGTAAAATAAACAAAATTAAATTTATGAAGCCCTCTGTGAATTTAAAAAAGTTCTCTAATTATTTATAATCAATGACTAGTGAATGGCAGTAAATCTAAATGTTTTGAGACTTTTCTCAAATAGGAGATATTTAAAATTCATTGTGTTCGAGGTTTTTTTTTCTTATTTTTCATATTAATTTTCTTAATAATTTCCTCAGAGCGGCGTTTTTTTTTTATTCATTCTTTAAAAAAGTGCCAAAAAATCTTTTAAGCGTTTACTATATCTAAACAATCTACGTTTTTAAATTCTTATTTTTCTTTCTACAGAATTAAAACTACTTTGTGTACTTCACTTCTTAAATGAACAATGTTTATTTTTGACGAAAATTTCGTATAGCTTAAGACGAAATGGTGTTTTTTTTCATGATTACTTCATTGCAGCTTTTTTACTTACTTCTGATACTTGGGTCCCTTAAAAACTTTTGTTGTCATTCAATTGACGATTATCTACATTACATGTGTATATTTAAACACTTGTAGACTTTTTAACACAGAATGCAAAGACACACTTTATAATTTGTGTGATATTTCATCGCTGGCCTATACAATAACCGACATGCCATATTCCATCGCAGTCCTCCTTATTATATTAGAACCCGCCTTAACATATAACTGCATTGTACGGTTTTGGACTTATAGTAATTAAGCACTCGTCAAATCTAGACGAATGTATGAGCCTGGTCCAATAATCCGAAAAGCAGTATCAGGTACGGGTAGCTAATTGAAACCCTTGATGGTTTCATATGAAATTTTCTCTTACGTTGCTATTTCAACAGTACGAGAATATCATAAAACTGTTTTTATACAGCAATTCTGCTGTTCTACCAGTAAACATCACGTCATTTGTGATAGGAGGAGATGTAAATATTATGTTGTTAAAGGGCCATTCATTTGGGAAGCCAAGTTATCGTTACAACAAGTCTATCTAGCTGGTTGAAGTTTAATCAAGGAGGTAATAAAACCTTGTAGGTTTTCTCTCATTTAAAAACACACATTCATCAAGCTTTTTAACATATTATTCAGTTATAAAAATCAAAATAACACCAAAGGACGGTTTTTTAATTTATACTAGAAGATCAATAATTTTTTTTCTTGAAGTGCTAAAAACTTTTTTAGGTAAACACATAATAAAATAGAAAATGTCCTTAAAACATTTGGGTTGATAAAAGCATTTATAATATTCAATTTTATAATCAAAAGATAAGAAATATATTTATAAAAATGAATTTTCTGATAAACACTTACCAAATTCCATGTTTCATTGTATTGATTATCAATTAAAACTGAAGTTAAGAAATAGATTACAGGCCATGGTTGTTCTCTTGCCCCGTGTCTTCAGTTTTATACTGAAATAACTCAAAATGCAAAATGTAAATTGTTAAGAAAGAAATATTTCAAATTTTGCACATAAAATTATCGACATCCGCGTCCCTGTTTATTACATTTTACCTGTTATATGCAATGATCAAAATTAAAAGAAAGCAACTTTGATATAATGAATCCATATTCAAAATTAGCTATGAATGACAGTTCGAGGTGCGATTTGATGATCTATCACTACAATCAGATATGTCGAATATTAAGAATTCTACAATAAAAAGCAACTAGTCTTTGAATTTCAAAAAAAATATATGACGATAAGTATCAGTAAAAGAATAAAAAACAGTAACCTTTTTTCCAGTTCTTTTTTTATTTGTTTTCTATTATTTTGATGACCTTTGCTTTGAGTGATATGGTCCATAATGTATAAATTGTTTAAAAATAATATTGATTAAAGACATATTAGATTTAAGGTTGGAAAATTTTGCTAAGTTTTGACTAAATGTTTATAATGTTACAAACATTGCGTAAATCTTTTGGACAATCCTCGTAGGTTATCAAATATATAAGTATTAAAATACATGTACGAGGGTTGTCCCAAAAAGTCGAAGACAGGGAAAAAAGTTTTTTTTTCTCCTTGCTTTATTTAATTTCTTCTCTTGTCGTAACAAAATGTAACATTTAATGGTCTTGCATTTCAAGTTTCGTGATGATATCACAAAGTAAAGAAAGCATTTATATGTACCTCGGAGCACGACTTAATTTACGTCTGTCCTAACGCCATGATCTCTTTTTCTTCAACACAAGTTAAAATTTGATATATATTTTTTAAAATTAAAAAACCACTCTTGACTAAGAGACATACACATGTATTTGTATTCACTACAATCCTTTTTTTTTTTTTAGCAGATTCACATTTCAGTCGAAATTTAGTCGATAGATTACGTTGTAGGCAGCAGAGAATACACGTTGTATGGCGTCGATCGTGGCCCGGAACGTTTCCCACTGCCAGCTAAACAATATTTTACTTCTTACATGGATAATTATCTTCGGTATAGAGAAAAAACTATTATAGAATCGCATACCATTTATAAACAATTTCTCCATCAGAATCTTATGTGTGTAATGTCACTTTTGTACTCTTTTTCCGTCTCTGATGTACATTAACCGTATTCAGAAAATGGTTTCTTCCCTTTGCGTCGGTTACGCATTTGAGGAAAGTTATTTATTCATAAAAAATTGACACGTAAATAAAATTGTTATTCTTGTTTCACTTATTTAAATTTAAGTTCATGTTTCACATAGTCCAAAGAAATAAACGCAAATGTAAAAGTGATAGTTAAATTATTCCAAATTTTGTTCGTGCACCGAAGACTATGTAGGCTTTCATATAAATCGTCCAAAAATTATTAATATGAAAGATTGATTGACTGATTGTATATTGTTTAACGTCAGTTGCCAGTGGAGAGATGCAAATTTTGTCCTATACTCAGCGCTTAGGGTCATTGAGCAGGGAGGGATATTTTTCGTGCCAGCACCTGCTGCGACACAGGACCTCGGTTTATACGGTATCCGATACCAGTCTCCACGTCCCACAGTGGGAAAGATAAGGATTGACTCCTTACTTCGCGACTTTAAAAGATTAATATGAAAGATATTCAGTTTAAAAGATTGATTCATTGATTGATTGTATATTGTTTAACGTCCCTCTCGAGAATTTTTCGCTCATATGGAGACGCCACCACTTATCGGTGGAGAACTGCATATTCTGTCCTGTTCTCGGCACTCAGGGCCATTGAACAGGGAGGGATCTTTTTCGTGCCAGCACCTACTACGACACTGGATCCCGGTTTATACAGTCTCATCCGGAGGACCGCTCTCCATGTCTTACAGTGGGATTCGAACCCATGACATAAGGATCAACTCCTTACTTCACGACTCTAGAGTAGAGCCTCTAACCACTGCGCGCCACACGGGCGATAACAGTTTTTAAAAACATTGAATATATATTATCTTTGCAAAAATTGGTTATTATTGGTTGCATGTTAACAAAGTTTTAATCGTTGTCTACAACTTTAAGGGACATTCCTCGCGATCGTATATCTACGGCTGAAGAATAGAAATTTTTACTCTTATTCATTTACACATTCAAAATTTTATCATCTAAAAAGATATCATCACTTAAATTTTGCAGTTAAGATACCTTTAAAATTTTCTATTTTGAAATTTATGGTACATTACGGACCATGTCACTAGCTAACTATTCTTATCTAATCCCTATCAAACCGTACTTTGTGCACCTTTCCGATTTCAGATTTGCAACTCCAACAAATCTTTAGATTCTTAAGGCAGCCCTCACACAGCATGTGACCACAGCTTAGTACAACATGGCTGATATCCACCAGTTTACAGGCTTTACACAGCAACATCTGACGCATCTCATGATTTTCTTTTCGTAGATCTTCAGGATCTGAAAAGAAATTATGATCAAGTTTTGTTTAAATTTCCATGGTCTATATTTGTAAAGAAAGGTTGTTTTTTAAAAGCGATATGCATTTAGCTAGTCTATTGCAAGGTACGTCAACCAAAGTTTACATTTCATACTAATGGTTAGAGCATTATTTACAAACTGATCTGTCTATGGATGCTTCTGCTTTCATTAATTATGACAAGGACCACACGGCGGGTGTTCCCGTCGTTAGGGGATACATGTACCTACTGCTTTTAAGAGCAGTCCCATCCCGTCCTCAGCATTTTTTTGAAGTCCCCGGGTACTGCTTTCTGGAACTACTTGGGTGTCAGGTTGGGTCTGGTCGATACTGTACATGCTGTAACTATCATTGAATCTCATGCCATTTAAAAATAACTTCTTTATTAAAATGTTGTGTGTAATATCATTTCTGTACTCTTTTGTCTTGTCTCTGATATAAATAAACCATATCCAAAACAATTTATTATATCTCCATGCGCCGGTTACGCGTTTGACGACGTCCTTTTCATCAAACTCGATTCCGACAATACTTTGAAAATCATGACACCAATCGTCTGTTCTTAATGCTATTTATATGAAATATTGTCACAATATTACGATTTTGATTCTGATTTCACTGATTTAAATATGAGTTCAATGTTTTACAAAGCACTAAAGAAATAAAAGCAAATGTAAAAGTTATATGCGTAAATTATTCCGAATTTTTTTCATGCGCCGACAGTCCTTCTCCGCCTACATATAAATCGTATTAATATTATTGATATGAAAGATATATATTAAAGAATTCACAATTTTAAAGAACATTGAATATATTATGTCTATGCGAAATTTTGTTATTATTGGTTTCATGTTTAAAAAGTTATAAACATTGTCTACGACTTTTTGGGACAACCCTCGTAACTACATAAATAAGGATAACTGATGATAGAGGATGATCAAAAAGCAGCTTTTAGTTTTCATTTAGTTTTTAGTCTTCACGTGTAGAGATACAATTCATACAATATTACGAGTGTTATATTTTAAAATAAATACTAACCTTGAGGAATCGTAATGTTTTTTATATTATCAGCATCTATTGGTCTTTTCAATTTGGAGGCTGAAACATTTTCTTCGTTCTTGATTTTTTCAATCTCATCTAGGATAACTTCAGGAGTGATCTCTGGATATTGACCTTTTAAAATAAAAACAAAAATCAATGTTTTACAAAAATTTCAATTTTTACGAATGTAATTTTATTAATTTCATTTTCTTTTATATCAATATTTATGGTACTTATATAACGCCAACTTTTTAAAACTTGCATGTCCGAATTCGAATGTAGATAGATTTTTTTTTTCAAAAGTCACTGCATGTATTTTCCTCTATACAGCCTAGTCTGTACTTTAATACTATATCCTTTTTTGTTGCATGTTATATGAAACATCATTCCAGATTTCTTTGCTTGATTCTTTGCTTGATTCCTTTTTGCTTAGTTTTAAAACATGACTTTAAAAATTTTATTTCAGAACGGAGAATTTTGTTTTATATGTAGGCCTCCAGAAATCGGCTTCAGAATGTGTTTATGCTTCTTAAATTGTCTGAGCTATTTTTGCATGAAGATAGTGCTAGGTTCAAGTAATTTATCAGCTAGTCTGAATTAATTTAGATGCAAATCAAATAGCAAAAATAGTATTTACCTTGATAACTATTGATACGGTCAATTGCTTGTTGAATGATATTTGGAAGAAATCCCATCTCGAAAAGTTTGTGTGCTGCTTCTCCTCTTAATGTATTTTCATATCCGTTTCCAGACTCATGTAATGAATCCTTTTGAAAAATATGAAAGTGACAATTTTTTTTGTATTTAATGAGGCATTTGCGTCATCGATATGGATATTAAATAAAAAAAATAATTACATATTCTATATGGAAGATTTCTGCCAAAAATCAACTAATAATCATTGATACCACGTAAGTTTCCGAAAAGACATGTCCGAAATCTTTATCAATATACTGACGGGGAGAATTATGTTCCTCTCCATCTTTGTTTTCAAGAAAAATTTGACAGCCATAAATGCTAGAAAGGAAAATAATAATTTAACTGTTCTGTTTCTGTTGATGAAATTTAGTAATATTTACTAAGAAGACTCTATCCATCCACAACTTTTATGGTAAAGAGATCATTGCGATAATTGGATCAAATCTCATGAATAGTTCAAATACAAGTAAAGGAAGAAATCAGTTACAGTATTCCTATTAACATCTGATTAATAAATTAAGTGTAACCACATAAGATTATTTGTCACACTTATGATTTATCTATAGCAAAAAGAAGTACTTTTATGCAATTTTATCATTGTCGTGTTGCATGTTTAATAACGTTTTCAGGAAGGTAGAATTTTCTGTCTGGAAACTCTTTATTTTTTGAATTGTTTTGCAAAAAATCTTGAATAGGTTATTGAATCTAAGGAAAACACCCATAAAAAACATATCTTTGACAGGTTAATTTTCATGCAACTTGTCCAAAAGAGTATATAATTTTTGGGAAATGCAACAGCAAAAATTTTTTTTTACATGAACAATATTTCATATTTTATTTAGCCTTTTGACTTGTTTCATTTTTTAAACTTGAAAAAACATCTATTTAAAAGGAAAATATTTGAAATTTCTATTTGAAAACACAAAAAATTTATATTGATTCTAAAAATCTCTCAGAGAAAAAGTTAGAATATTTTTTTAAATGTGTTTTAATTAATATGTTTATATCAAATTTTTCTTCAAATTATTTAGAATTATACATTGAAAAAAACGTCTTTTGCTTATGGTTGAGCACGGAGGACATTATTTATTGAACAGCCTTCGTATTTACTTTTTCCTGTTTCGTGTATTATGAAACATTCATTTGTTTTATGATTGAGTTCTTTTTGCCCAGTTTTTAAAACATATCCTTTAAAATTTCATTTCAGAATGGAGAGTTTTGTGTAATATGTGGGCCTCCAGAAATCGACTTCAGAATATTTTCATGTTTCTTAAATTGCCTTAGTTGTTTTGTAACAGAGTGCAAAATGGTTATTCCTATAAATAACGTATATTAAATGCTTTGTGTGCACAAACACTATAAGGCAAAATAAAATTTATCTTGATAACTATTGATACGGTCAATTGCTCGTTTTTTATGATTTTTTGGGTATTTTCAGAAATATTTTCAGTAAAAGTTTTTGGTGCCGTTATCTCCCTCTGTATTGTAAGTTTTCATATTTATAGCAAAAACGCCATGTGATGAATCCTTTAGAAAAAATATGTGACAATTTGCTATATTTAATGATGCATATGCATCATTGATGTGCATATTCAATAAGAAAACAAATTATTATAATGAAAAATTTCTGTTGAACAAAAATCGTACATATATACTATACCACATAAGTTTCCGAGAGATTGTAACTAAGTAAAAATAGACGTGGCAACAAACTGGCAAGTTACATTATGTTCCTCTCCAGGTGTGTGATTTAGATTTCGTTAATGAAAAATGTGAATAGTGTAGACATTCTTTCCAGAAGGCCATAATTTTTAAAAGGAAGAATAAGTTAACTGTTCATTTATATAAAATTTGCAAAATATTTTCTCAGAAGACTTTATTTATCCAAAACTTTCATGTCCAAAAGGCGATAATGATTGTGTAAAATTTGTTAATTAACATACATATTTAACTTTTAAAGCAAAAATTTTTATTAAATATTTATAAATCAAGAGTGAAAAGAATTAAATCTACCACACTTATGATTTCTCTATAGCAAAAAGATCTATTTTTATACATCAACATTGTCAATTGCATTTAAATTACACGCTTTTTACTTTTTATTATTTTGTCAATAGATTTGTAAATGATTACTTATTTAATTATATGTGAATATATAACTTACTTCAATATGGTTGCGACTTAAAAGAAGGAGTTTTGCACCAGCAAAGTTAAAAATAAATCACAAAAATACCCAGTATGTGCATTCTATAAACAGGGACATATCACCTTATTCGATATTTGTACTTCTATTTTTAGGAAAAAGATACTTTTATTATTCAACTCAGCTGATACCAATGTTGCATTGCATCTAATTGTTTATATAAAAACATTGTTTACAAATTTTGAACCATTTGCAAGTGATATAGGCCCCATATTAATTATTAATGTTTTACATTATTTACATTATTAATTATTTAACATTGAATTTTAAGTGATAAAATCGTGAAAATTTAATATCAATATCTGCTCATTCAGGAGAGATTTCAACTGAATTTGAATTTTTGAAATCAACAATTTCAAAGCAATACTTACATAGTAAATACGAGCCTATCAACGAACGTTCAGCAAAGGTAGTGGATAAAAATACTTTATATGGAAATTCCAAAAAGATAAAAACAATATTTAAATAACTACACGTCAGCTCGTGAAATAATGCAATATTTTTAAATATCTATTTTAAGCAATTGATCTTGTTTTAACAATTTATAATGCCGATGTGATAGACTCTAAACTTATAGACAGAATAAAAAGAACGCTGGAAAAATAATTGATATGTAAAAGAAAATAAAGTTTTGTAACATTGGATATACATGTATAACGTTAATAAATGTATTGTTGACCATGAAATAAATGTATTTGGAATAAATGGCGTATGATATAGTTTACTGAAACATAGAAACATTTGCAGTTTTATGACCAAGAATTTTATAGGTTCTCTCTTTTTTACATGATTTCTTTTATTTTTTATTTCTTCTTACAGACATATTTAATACATAATTAATATTTTTGTAAATTAATAAGGGTGTGATGAATAATGTTAGTAGATTCATTAACACAAAGAGCAAGAATGTTTTAAATGTTTTATTTTTATTATAAATAACAATGCTGGATAAAGTAGCATGAATTTATCAAGAAGGTAAATAGTTACATTAAGTTTTTTTTCACAGTTTGTGAGTTACAAAAATCTTTCAGTCATTCTGTTGTAAAAAAAGATTTTAATTCACTTTTGCTTTCACACATCCCTTCACTGTGTCGTGACAGGCTGGACATTTCCGGAGTGCAGGGGCGCAGTCAGCACAGCAAACAAAATGGCCGCACGGGAGGAATACCGAGGACACGTATTTGTCCAGGCATATTTTACAGATAACTTGTTCTCGTAGTCTGATGTAGTCATCTCTCAACTGCTCAGTCTCCAAATCTAAAAAAATATCCCAGTTTCTTTCAACACTGATTTGTAAGGAAAAATAAGAAAAGTATATTTTATCAAAAAGGTGAGATAAATACCTTTCACAAATTCTGTCTGCATGGCGGAGCTGTTAGGGTAAAAATAGTTTTAGTTCTCCCATGTTATTAAACTTATCGACATTTTTGTTCTATAAATAAATTGGTATTTCCCTTTGCTTGTTTTATGAATCTGTGGAATGATCAAACGAGCATTTTCAGAATGATATGAATATTTAAAAATAAATGAAACTGGAACTGCTACTGTATTCAAACAAGTTTTTTTCTTTTAAAAGACGTGTCTATCCCTTCTAATCAGATAAGGATATGAATGATGTATATACTGTAATTCTGGTTTAAAATATGAATGGGATTTTTAACATTTGTGAAATAAATTTGTAAAGGAAAAGTGTAATTTTCCTTTTTTGGATTTTTTGACAAAATTTTAAAATATCACAATGGGTAGATTTTGTGTACTTTTGACCAGTGGGTTAATTTCCGGATAATACCTTTAAATTAGATCATTTATTTAATATCTTAAAATATTTTGTTTGTAACATTTCACATTTATTTAAAAGCATTTTCAAAGTAATACAAGTCATGTTAATAATACTTTTATCCTCACTAACATAATTAGGTTCTTAAATGAATATTACATGAAAGAAGAGAAATTATTACCCGAAAAATTACGGATAAGTATTTTTTTTCAGCCATAGCAGGAATTATCACACCTAACAATGAAGAAAAACAACCGATGGATATCCTCTGCCTGATAATTACCAATATGTTTTGAAACTTACATTTACACCAATTTAATTTATAGGATTTAGATTTACAAATTAAATTGCAAATCAATTGAACATAAATCAGTCAAAGTTATGTATACCCATGCATGAATGCGAAGTCAGTTGGTAAATGCGACCAAATGAAAAATTACACACTACGGTAATAGTACAAGGATACTCGGTAGAAATTATTTCTACAACAGTTAAAAAATCAAGTATTCTGTTTACATGCTGTTTGGTATCAAACATATGTCCATTTGTAGCATATTCCTTGACAAATCGCTAAATCAGCGTCAAAAAAACTGATGCACTTGAAGTCTTCAAAAATGATTATCTTTTTATCGGTATTTTACTCAATCTTTTATGTTTAACAACAGAGAAATAAAAATAATAAAAACTTAGCCAAATTTAATGAATTTGAAATGATACAAAATATTTTGACTGATGCAGCGGTTGAAAAAAACTGAGATTACCGGACAAAAGACATGGAACAATATTTCATATTATAACAAATAATTCATATAAAAACAATGTAATGTGGAAAAGGTGTTACGATGGAAAAAGGTTTCCGGTATCTTGTTGCATAACAAACAGGGATTTTTTTTTTCATCTAATCTTAAGTACAAAAAAATAAAATATTCTAGCCAAATTACACAAGCCTACCTTATAGGATAAAACGTTTTTACTGGTGACCAATTTGTTGAGAGAAACAGAATTTTTTTTTTATAAAATGTGTCGTACAAAAAATTTTAATAATTGAAAAATTAAATAATAGGATACACGTTTTATTTTGACCATTTTCAAATAAAAATCATTAAACGACAGATGTAATATGCAACTTTTATCTGACTGTAAACTATGAAAGTAAAGGCATAAAGATGATTGATTGTATATTGTTTAACATCTCTCTCAAGAATTTCAACTCATACATGTACATGTAAGGAGTCACTTCCACTCTCCGTCGGTGAACAGCATTTTTTTCCTATACTCGGCACTCAGGGGCATTGATTGAGCATTTAG